ACTTAGCTCTAGCGACGTTTCTAGCGGGCGTAATGCTTATGAAAAGTATCTCTAGCGCGATTTAAAGGTACTAAAGGTTATTAAATTAAGCTTCTTTCGCTTCGTATCGATCTAGAATTTTAATAAGCCATACGTTCGTAATTAACGCCCTTTCTAACGTAACGTAAAAGAGCGTATACTTAATTATTACCTTATCTATTACGTAAATAAAGGCCCTAGCGAGCTAGAGTCGTTTTACCGCGTTAAGCTTATATTAAATTATCCGTATATTAGCGAAAACGAGTTACTTTTAATTAACGGTACTTAATTTCTAACGCATATACTAGCGTATACGCGATATTAAATAACTTATTAATACGAGGATAACTATTACGGCGACCTTTCCGGACCCGACGAAGAAAAGTTCGAGCTCCTAGAGGAAAAAGAATAGGCTTTAAACGAAAAGAACTAAGTTAAACTAACGCGTCTATTCCCGAACTAAGCGCTTACGTAGGAAATATTTAACGTACTTAGGAATAAAGATATCGACGTAAACTACGATTAGGCTATATACGTAGCCCGATATAAGTACCCTTACTTTTACGATTCTACTTATTAACGCGAGATAATAAGTACTACGGATACGCCGGAGTAGGAAATCGTTCCCTTAAATATCCGTAATACGCTAAATCCGGAATAAAGGCTAATTTACGATACCGTTCTCGGCTACGTATAAAATCGTAACTAAAACTAGCTCCTATCTTAAATTAACGGTAGTAGCGGTACTAAAAAATCGTATCTAATTAAGATTTTAGCCTCTTACGTTCGCTAGGCTTTTACTTAGGACTTAGTAGCCCTTATTACCCTAACTAGCGCTACGAGTAATAATATTCGCGGGAGGACGATATATTCTTTCCTTCGTTTACCCGTAGAGCGTAACTTTAAGCCGCTCTTTAATAACGCTCTCGCTAAGATATAACGACGCCTTATTAACCTTCGCTATTTAATTATCGACGAAAAGAGTATATTAAGGCTACGTATATTTAGGTTTATTAACCGCCGTTTACGGTAAATATTCCCGCGTAGCTCGCGGGTTTTTAATAGCGTAAATATAATCTTAATCGGCGACTTCTTTTAGTTACCCTTAATATTATTAAAGCTTATCTATACTCTTAATTCGACGTATCTTTCGGTAAACGAATTCGTCGGTTATAATACGTATAGAGCTTTTTTTAAGTCGGTATTTCTATTAGTAGTTTAGCGCTAGATAGGCGAGGACTAAGCGCCTTTTCGAAAAGCGCTAAACGAGTTACGCTTAGCGTAAGTTTCCGCCGAGTCGTTCTAGCTCCTATCTACGAGAATAACCGCGGTATTAACTAAGTAAGATCGTTTCGGCTTTAAAAAGGCGGTACGTATATACTCTACGCGTAAAGAGGTACTTTAGTATAATTTTAATTATCTCGTAACGCTTAATTCGTTAGTTATTTAAACGTACGTTATTTATTACGGCCGAGGAGCGCTAAACGCGCCTAGCGACTTAGCCGGTAATCTTTTCTCTAAGCTATTATTTTATATAAGCGCTCGAGTAATGCTATTACGTAATATCTCTTCCGAAATACGGCTTATAAATAGCTCTTAAGGCTTTATTTACGATATAAGTTAAACGTAAGGCGTTAATTTTAAACGCGAGCCGTTAATAATAGTTATAATAGCTTTCGACGATTACGACGGGCCCGGGTTTAAAAATACTTAAGGAAATAAGCTACGCGATTCTCGAGGGAAAAAGATAATACTAATACTACGCGAGCGCTAGGAGTTCGATTATAAGGATATCTCCTATATACGAGAATAATTCCCCTTAACTATCTTATACGTAATAACCGTTTATAAAGCGTAAGGTATTACTATTCTTTACGCTATCGTTAAAATTATAAAGAAGGAATTCGCGTTAGGGTTAAATTACGTCGCCTATTTTAAGGTTATCTCGCTATAAGGCCTAATATTTAACGAGCCGTTTTATAGGAATGCGGTATATAAAAAGCTAATAAATGGTAAGTTTCTTTTTACGTTCGCTAATATTTAAGCTAATATATATTTCGTAGGTATAAAAGCTAAGCTAGAAAATAAAGATCTCCGTTTACGTATATAGTTATTTACTTAACCTCTATACTTACTACGATACCTTTATAAATAACGTACTTTAACGCTATAAATAACGAGTAGGAATAGCGTATATACGTTAATTCTATCGAGCGAGTATAATTTATAATACTTTAATTAATCTCTATATAGCTAGACCGCGTAAAAGTAAAGAGTACGGGTATAAAAGTAGCGTAGATATACCATTTTCTATATAGGAGTACGTTTTTCTTACTTTAATTACGGAGCGTTTCCTAAAGTACGTCGCTTCTTTCTAACGTATAAAGATATCGCGACTTCCTTAGTAATTAACGCCGTACCTTCCTTTAATCGCGACTTCCTATAACGCTTTCTTATTTACGAAATAAAATAACCTATTTCCTATTATTAATTACTTTTACTATTTCCTTTTCTTTTTCCTTACGTCTCTTATCCTTCTTATAACTACGTAAGTTTAAACCTTCGTATATAGTTAATTAAGCTTAAAACGAACGCTAACGATATTTCGTAGTCTTTTATTTAATAAAATAAGATTAAAGTAGTTAAAAAAAGTAAGAAATTTAATACGCGCGCGATAGATTTAGCTAATTAGAGTAGTATTTAGGATTTCGACTACCGAGCTCGCTAACCTAGGCCTCGATTAGCTATCGGCTAGCGACGCCTACCGCGTAGTTAGTATTAGTACTACGATAGGTAATACTAACGGCCTAGCGGCCGCCGGCGGCGGTAGCGACCCTCCCTTCCCTAGTATACCTTATAAAGTAAGTTATACTTTACGAACTTTATAATATAAAAAAAAGTACGCGATTAAGTAATAATATACGTAGGCGCTAATTTTACTATATAAAATCTACCTATAAACCGAGTCCGCCCCCTTATTAGTAGCGACGACGACGACGACGACGACGGTAACGACGACGGTAGCGACGATAGTAGCGATAACGACGGCGACGAGGAAAGAGCGTTACCTTATAAGGTATGCTTTAGACGAATTAGTCGATTATAGGCAAACGCTTACGTAAAAAGAACCGGTATATAAAATAGCATAAAAAACGCGAAAAGTTACGTATACGCGATAACTAATAAATATAAAAGATAATCGCTACTATTATTATTATAAGGGCTACTACGCTTACGCTAAGGTACCCCGGGAGGCCGAGCTAAAGCTCGCTAAATTTATAGAATTAAAAAAAGCTTTCGATTCTAAAAAAATTAATAAAAAGGTACGTTAATACGTAATAAAGTACGCTAGCGTAGAAATTCTAATTTAAAGTAGGCTTTTAATAAAGTCTATAGGAAAACTAGAAAGGTAATCCGAAAGGCGGAAGAGCGGGTTATAAAGCAATAAGGATTAGATATTAACGCTCTTTCTAATAACGAATTATTACGAGAAATCCTACGTATATTACGAGAAAAAAATACGGGTACGTAAAAAAAAGCAGAAAAGAAACGTAAAAAGAAGTAATAAAGATATAAGTTTAAAGGATTCGTAGTTTTATTAGGCATAGCGCCCTTTTTTAATATAGAAATTACGTACCTACGTAATTTTAACTTTAAAAAAATTTTTCTATACTAGATTTCTTTTATATTTTATTCTTCTTAAATTCGTTTTACTATATACGTTTTTTATCGTAAATAATATACGCTTTACTTGATACAATATACGTTAACGTAAAAATTTAAACTAGTTTCGAATTTATAAAAGATAGTTTCGTATGAACTATAAGTTTTCTATATATAATTTCTTACGTTTTCTAGGTTTTCTATAATAAATAAAGTTCGTAGCTCTAAAAATCGTTATTAAATAAACTAAGTATACTTTCTATATCTCTCTATCCTCCGGATAGGTTATTATTTTTAGCGTTTACGTTAAAAATAAGCCCGAATTATTCTGCTTCGCAGAATAATTCGGGCCTTATTTTAAAATCTAGTAAGGGTTACCTTAGCTAGTTATTCTTTCGGAAGGGCTAAAAGAATTATAGCAAGGGTCGCGGTACCGACCTTATTACCTTCCCTTCTTATAATTTTAGGATGGTTTTTATAACTACGTAGGAACTAATATCTAGACGGATATAATAATATCCAGACGGATATAATGTCTATATATTCCATAGGTACCTACCTACCTACCTACCTACCTACCTACCTACCTAGACCTATCTACCTAGACCTGTTGTCTTCATCTTTTTTCTATATACTATGATCTACTACCCATCTTCGAACCTATCTGCGAACCTATCTGCGAACCTATCTTCGAACCTATCTGCGAACCTATCTTCGAACCTGTAGGAGCTAGTTCGCGGGCGTGGAATCTATCTATCTTCGAACCTGTAGGGGCTAGTTTACGCGTGGAATCTATCTATCTATCTGCGAACCTATCTACGAACCTATCTACGAACCTATCTGCGAACCTATAGGAGCTAGTTCAGGCGTATGGAATCTATCTATCTTCGAACCTATAGGAGCTAGTTAGCGTACGTGGAATCTATGGGAGCTAGTTCGCGTATATGGAATCTATCTATCTTTAAACCTATCTTCAAACCTATAAGAGCTAGTTCGCGTATAGAATCTATCTATCTATCTTCGAACCTATCTTCGAACCTATCTGCGAACCTATCTGCGAACCTATAGGGGCTAGTTCGCGCGTGGAATCTATCTACTACCTATGGAAGAGGTAGGTAGGTAGGTAGGTAGGAGGTTAGGAGATAGGTATCAGACGTAAAAGATACAAAGGTACAAAGGTACGTACTTAGTAACATAGAGGTAACCGGGTAATCCTATAGAATGTACCTTTTTTAAAATAATAATATTATATCCGGATAGTAACTATGTCGGGAAATAGTAATAATGTTAGCCTAGAGTTTAACTCCTTCTTATTACGAGGCAGATACTATGTCTAGTCATAGAAAGGATTGCTAACATAGTGTCAATAGACCCCCCCCTCCCCGTATGGTAGGTAGGTTCTTACCTATAAGGTACCTACCTAGGTACCTACCTATTTAGGTTACTTATGTGTCAGCCACTTAGTGTGGCTCAGAATGCGACTCGAGATTGTCAAGTTGCTTAAGTAATAGGCATGAAACATGTAAAACCCCCACCACCAACCTAGGGTTTGTCAAGCACACAATAACTGACCGAATTTCTTACTGGGTTTTTTTTCCTCCCTTACCGATTACAAGTGCATCTCGCGGCGCTCAGAATACCTTCCTCCCCCCCCCCCCAAAAGTCTTGCCGCGAATTCTAAGAAGGAATCGTCCGTGTTTATATTCGGAATTATGCGTAAGTGAGCCAGCGTTGCACGGCCCAGATCCCTGAATTGAGCTGACACGACAAATCTAGCTCCCAAGTTCGATCCTAACGAGGTCAAGGTGATGTATGTAGTGATATTGTCGTTGTCTGCGCATCTTGTCTGGTGCTGGAATTGGGATCAATTCGGCTAGAGACTAAAGCACAAACTGTGCAGTCACCTTCGAGCCACTGGAGGGGAGGTCGGCTCCTCGTCCGCGCTCGCACCTAAGATCGGACCCCTCGGTTTATCGCCCAAGAAGGTCGGAGAAGATATTGCGAAAGCTACGGGTGATTGGGTAGGCATATATCACCGCAAACCCTTAAACGAGCTAACAAGTATTGTGAAAAACAGAAAGGTCTGCGAGTCACCGTCAAGCTCACTATCCAAAACCGCCAGGCTGCCGTCTCTGTTGTCCCCACTGCTTCTTCTCTCGTCATCAAGGCGTTGAAGGAGCCCCCGCGTGATCGAAAGAAGGAGAAGAACATCAAGCATTCAAAGAGTGTACCGCTGGATGACATCATCGAAATCGCTCGAACAATGCGTTTCAAATCTTTCTCGAAGGATCTGAAGGGAACTGTTAAGGAGATTTTGGGGACGGCATTTAGCGTAGGTTGCCAAGTTGATGGACGAAGTCCTAAGGATATCAGCGACGACATTGAAAGTGGCGAGATTGATAGTAAGTTTCGGCTAACGCATCTTTTCACGAAGAGACGCTGACGAAGCAACCTAGTCCCCGACGAGTAACTGGGTTGAAAACGGGCTTCTTCTTTTTCCGCTGCATGTTTGATCAGGAGTTTAGGAATTGCTCGCGATAGTCTTCGCCAACACGCTCCGAATTGTGATACGAACAAATCGACTTGCAACTGTTAGTGACATGTATGCATTCCTTTGGCTCCGTGCCAAACCCTTGACCACACTCTGAGGTAGACTGTTCGCCATGGTTTACTTCTATTTTGTGTCAAGGGATATTGACGGCCGTTTACTCACCGCGGCCTCCTCGCTAGAAGCTGTGGAGGCTGGGGTCCATATTCTCTCGGGCCGACATACCTGTCTAGTTTTTCTATCTTGGAGGAACTGGGATAAGCTTGGGGTGATCCTAACTGGAACCACCTTACTAGTGATCTACCTCTATCTATTTGTTAGCAGTTGCGTGTATTCGGAGATGGTTGAACGCTGTTATTGTTTCCATTCCCCCTTGGTGTAGGTATGTATATCCTAAGTACTAGGAGAGACAGTACCTCGCTTGCAGCGTCGGTTGTGATTTCCCTTAACCGGGCCAACAACAATGGGAAAAATAGTTGGGTGCTCCGGTTTTTTTTTTTTTTTGCTGTGTTTAGTCGACGGAACAAATTTATAAATGTATTGCGAACTGCTTGCCTACCTACGTAGGTACCTACCTACCTCCTACCTGGTAGCTTTTTATTTTTAGTTGATTTACCTTGTACCTACGTATCTGCTGATGTACTTGCAAAGTACCTACCTACCAGGAGGCAGGCAGCTTAAAAATGTGACCAGGACCTGAGAAGCAAGATCCAAGACACAGCCACCCCACGTCTGTTAAAACCAGCATCTCTCTCTCTCTCTGTGCCTGCCTTGGAAGAGAGGGCCTTCGACATCGGCAATCTCTAGTCCTCTCGCCTTTCTCCGTGGTGCCTCGGATCAGATCCGGCGTAATATAACCCAACACAACTTGTTCTCGTAGGCGTGCTATACAACCACATCCTCTCTCATCCCCCTTTCCTCTCCCCGTCCATCATACATCCCTTACAGCGATCTTTTGTCAGACAAACCAGGCGTCTAACCCCTCTCATCTCAGGTCCAGCCCAGCTTCATCATCCATCAACGCTCCTCTCCGAATACAGAGCGCCGTCTAATTCTCATACAGACACCTGCCCTTCCCGCCTCGCCGGCTTCTCGGCACCCGAGCTGGAGCTGGATATTTGCCGCTGTGCGAGGTGACGTGGAGGGCGAGGGACGTTGGCAGTCTGACTACTCAGGCCCCAACACGACGAGTTATCCTCGGCGTCTCCGTAGGCAACTTCCGGCTGTCTCCCGACCGAGATACGCCCGCCTACCAAGATCGGTCCCGCCCAGCCCCAAATGTATATCAGACAACATCCCCCAGCCGCGCTCTAACCGGCGGGCCGTGATGAAATCGCCTAGCGTGTTAGTCCTTCGACACGACCTCTTCCGGGCCTGTTCTGCTCTTGCCAGATGTTACCGTCCGTCCATGCGCACCAGATGGTGCAGTCCCCAAACAATCTTTACCCCTTATCTTCTCTCCAGCCAGACCGCAGGCAGGGTCACTTTTCCTTTCCCCGATATGCCCCCACTGCTGCGAGAGCACCCGAGTCCACCCCAAGCTCCGACTTTGGATCACTACATCGGGTCTTTCCTATTCGTTCCACCCAGCCATCGCGGGCGTTGCCGGTCCGTCCGAGATCAAACCCTTTCATACTACCGCCTCGTCTCTCCGACGAACATCAACTTAGACGCAAAACTCCTAGTGGAACAATCGATGCTGGGTACGACGGCAACCCAGCCCAACTGGCGTCTACACCTCCACCTCTAAAGCATATGATCCTGTCTACATCATCTAATCTCATTCCTTCCGGCTACTCGCAGCACGATTTTCAACCGAGGAAGCGCCTCGTTACATCTTCGGTTGAAGACTGGGCAAATCAATCTTGGCCGCTCTTTTCCATCTCTGATTACAATGACCCACTAGCTTTAGACTTGGTCCCGCCGCTAGGGGTGAACTGGAGGCAAGGGCCGGGTAACGGTTCACGCACGATCACGACCCTCGACTGTGTGCCCAACGGGTCGCTCACGGCTTATTACCCCCATAACAACGGGACCGAGGTGCCGACGGTTCTGCAGCCTATGTACCAGCACCATCCCGGCCCTGCCATATTCGACAATGGGGGGTTACTTCCGCTTCCAATCTGGCCTAATGCCAACTTAAGTCGTCATCCCACGGTACATCCAGAGCTGCTGAATCATCGTGAATCGAACCGCCAACCAGTCCTCCGCCCACAGCATATGTCGATGCCATTCAGAGCATCTTCGAATAGCCGGCCTCGGTTTGAGGATCCCCCGACTGGCTTGCGGACGCCCTCTCAGGGGTTGGAATCACTCACTCTCGAACCTGTCCAGCACATCCGGCCCGTACTAGAATTTCACGAAAGCTCTACACCTATAAGATTTAGGGAAAGGGCGCTTGCAAATGCTCATAGATCATATATCGAACTTTTAGCATACTTACACCAATGCAAGAAAGCGCAAGGCCGTTCTTCTCATGAATTCCGACCTACCAAAATGGTTATATTCCCAAAGCTTCCCAAATCACCAAACTCCCTTGCCTACGTATCCACACCCCGACGACCCCAGGGTGTGCATGCGGCCAGAGATCCGAACGGCGGCCATGGACATTCAGCGGTCGACTCTCTAGTTAATTCGACCTTAGACTCGCGCAAGCAATACGTTGTAAGAAGACAAGCTCGAGGTAATGAACTGTCGAATTCGGCCTTCTATCATCTGTTTAATTCAGAGAATTCCGGACTCTCAAGCGCCCACCTGACGAGAACAAGAGCACCAATCACACCTTTGGCGGGCGCTAAGGCCGCTGTCGAGATGCTGACGCATCTTTGTGAGCAGAGCGGCTGGAAATGGATAGACGGGATGCTATTGGGAGGTTGCTTGTACTACGGCCTCGAGCGTTATGAGGAGTCCCTGGAATGGTTCCAGAGAATAATCTCCCTAGATGCGACGTAGGTTTTCGGTTCTCTATGGGCCTCGGGTTCTCCTCGCACTGTTGCAACTCAGCCTGTCTAACACTCTCGAACAGTCATGTTGAAGCAATTTCGAATGTGGCAGCTACTCTTTACTGCCTTGATCGACACGATGAGGCCGAGACTCATTGGCTCCAAGCTGTGCGCCTGAGACCCAGCTACTTAGAAGCCGTAGAGCATCTCGTGGGGCTGCTGTGTTCTAGTCACCGGAGCAAAGAGGCTGTTGATATAGTCAACTTCGTTCAGCAATCCATTCGTCTTTCGGACGGGCAGGCTAACCGTGACGTCCACCTCGATCTAGACAAGAGATCCGGTGACCGGAGATACAACGCCGCTAGGCCACACATCAACCCTACCTGTGTATCCGCAAGCAGAAACGATGGTGTGAAGGATCCAAAACAGCCAGGGTTCGGCTCAAGTGGCTACTCCGTACCCGGGAATGAGAATGGCCGGATTATCGCACTGATTCATGCGAAGGGAAATATGCTGTATGCCTTAAAAGAGATCGACGAGGCCTCGGAAGCATTCGAGGAAGCCGTGCTTATCAGTGCCGGCAAGAAACTTAAATGCATCCAATCCCTCATTCGCAGAATCCACTCCGTCCTATCCCCAATAGATGCTCACGGGCATCCGAAACTGGGTGATTGTCACGGGTCATCTACCGGGCCATTGTTGCTACCGCCTGAAAAGGCAAGGCATACCGCGCAATTGGTATTCGCTAATCAAGGCGAGCTTCCCGGGCTGCGTTTCGTCCCAGACGGAACACCAAAGAAATCAGCCATCTCGACCACCAGCAACTCATTATTATCACTCGCCAAGATTTTTCAGGATGCCATGTCCAGTGGAGGCTCTCTTCCTAGGCTCCTACGCCAACCCTCCAGCATCGGCGACATTCTAGCGCTCTACTATTTGTCCCTCTCGCTTTCCGAAAGCCCGTCAACGGCCAACAATGTAGGGATACTCTTAGCGAGTGTCCAACACACAAACTCTTTACCACAGCCTCAGGGTTTTGCGAGCCTGAACACGCCGCAGATACCGGGGATTGCTCCCGGCAGTGGTCTTTCTCTAGCTCTCGCCTATTACAATTACGGCCTAAGTTTAGACTCGAAACACGTTCACCTCCATACGAACCTCGGAAGTCTCCTCAAGGATGTTGGTCAGCTTGATATGGCTATACAGATGTACGAACAGGCCGTTGCCTGCGACGGGAGCTTTGACATTGCCCTCACAAACCTAGCTAATGCCGTCAAGGACCGGGGACGTATCAGTGACGCTATCATGTACTACAGGCGGGCCGTCCACTCCAATCCAGAATTTTCCGAGGCGGTATGTGGCCTCTCAACAGCTCTCAACTCCGTTTGCGATTGGAATGGCCGAGGCGGCGTGCTATTACAAGATGGAGCGTATGACCGCTGGCATGTTGATGAAAAGGGGATGCTTCAAGATGCCAAAAGTGTAGGGGTCAGCAATGGCTTAATGAAGAGGGTCGTTGACATAGTCTCGAAACAACTCGGCGAGTCTAGTCACTGGGGATCTGGCGTTTTACAAAACGGAGGCCTTGAAACTCTTACCACACAGCTCAATCATCTTGCACCGAGCAGGGCGCGGGGGGCATTGGATTTCAAGCTTGAGATTCACAGGTGGGCTTCCTCCCCGTGGGAGGGCTCCAAAATCCTACGACTGGTCGAACGTTCAATAAAGGTGGCGATGCGGCGTTGGTACCAGGATAAGTACGTCTACCATAGGCCATCGCAGCCAGGATACTCCAGGCTTGTGCTGCCGTCATCTTTGGCGATTCCAGCAGCACCAACTGTCCTTCCCTTCCACACATTCACCTGCCCCCTAACAGCCAAAGATATCCGGATGATCTCCCAGCGGAATGCAGCCAGGATATCATGCTCTACGCTCAAATCTCCGTGGCTCCCCAGTTCTATATATCCGCCCCCGCCGCCTCCCAGCCCACAGCTAAATATAGGGTATGTGTCTTCGGACTTCAATAATCACCCTTTAGCTCACCTGTGAGTTCTATCTCCACCTGTTCCCTTCCCTATGGTATTTCTGTCTGATCATCTAACTCTGCAGGATGCAATCCGTATTTGGATTTCACGACCCTTCGCGCACAAAAGCTGTCTGCTATGCTACGACGGCCAGCGACAAGTCAGTTCATCGGCTACAGATTGAGCGTGAAGCCCCTATATTCCGAGATGTCAGCAACTGGCCCCCAGAGAAGCTCACAGAACAGATAGTGAAGGATGAGATACATATCCTTGTCAACCTAAATGGGTACACCAGGGGCGCCAGGAATGAGATCTTTGCAGCGCGACCTGCACCAATCCAGATGTCTTTTATGGGATTTGCGGGCACCCTTGGCGCCGAATGGTGCGATTATATCTTGGCTGATAAAATCGCCATCCCGCCGTCAACGTTGCGACCAACAAGAAGCAACATGAATCTCGAGGACGTCTTCCGGGACGACGAATTTAGCGGCACCGGCGATTGGGTATACTCGGAAAACATCGTCTTCTGCCGGGACACTTTCTTCTGCTGTGACCATGCCCAATCGTGCGATCCCGAGGAGAGGAGCGTAACGTGGGAGGACGAGCAACGGCGCAGATGGAAGATGCGAAAGGAGCTTTTCCCAAGTCTTCCGGACGATGCAATCATATTAGGCAATTTCAATCAGCTCTACAAGGTTACCACTAGCAGTTCAGACCCTACACATCTAAAAAGGAGTCACTAACTAGTGTGTTCAGATCGACCCTTCGACTTTTCGCGTGTGGTTGCGCATTCTCTCCAACGTTCCCAAGGCCATTCTGTGGCTACTTCGATTTCCCGAACTCGGAGAGAACAATTTGAGGAGAACGGCAAAGGCCTGGGCGGGCGAGGAGGTCGCCAGCAGGATCATCTTCACAGACGTGGCACCGAAGCAGCATCACATATCACGCGCACGCGTCTGTGATCTCTTTTTGGACACGCCAGAATGCAATGCGCACACAACCGCAGCAGACGTCCTGTGGTCCAGCACGCCACTGTTGACATTACCAAGATATCCGTACAAGATGTGCTCCCGTATGGCAGCCTCGATCCTGTCAGGCGCATTACCAAAGACGCCTCGCGGGTACGAAGTAGCTAGGGAGCTCACCGCTCGCGACGACGCTGACTATGAGAAAATGGCAACTAAACTCGCTGGTGACCTCAGGTATCGATGTGTCGATGGGTCTTATTGCGAAGGACACGGAGAGTTAGCTGATATGCGGAGGACACTTTTCGAAGCGAAATGGACATGCGCACTCTTCGACACGCGGAGGTGGGTGGCCGATCTAGAGAGGGCATACGAAGAAGCATGGCGGCGTTGGGTAGCCGGCGAAAGTGGCGACATCTACCTATAGCGGGTATACATGTCTAGAATGAGACAGGGAATTGGCGTCTTCCAATTCCAGGCTCTGTATCAACTGACGAGGAACGGGAGTTGCGGGTGCATACGTGAGGGCACCACGTTGGTGGAAGAGACCCCTCCTGACCCGGTATTAGAACACCGAGGGGTTCTAGTAGTGGACCGAGGGATTGACCCTCTACCAACTGGGCATTCACCGGGTCCCTAGGTTGCATTTTGAACTTCGCTGGGTTGGCATGGAGAATTTGAAGTTTCAGTCATAGATAGGGAGGCAGACTCATACCAAGTGCTGGTGGGGTTTACCTTTCCCGGGGACAGACATGCGGAGTTGTTTCAGTAGCGACGGAACAGGGCGTTCGGCGATCTGACGCTGCAGAACCTGTATTATTTACAATGTGTTATGGGCGGGTTTCTTATAAATATACCCAGAGCCGTCGAGACGAGTAAGTTGGGTTATCCTCTTATTACGTCATTAAGGTTCTTTTCTCTCTTTTATTAAGGCTCTTTAACTACCACTCATAGCGTTGGTACCTTAGTACCCGGAGCCTTAAGTAGTGCCTTTTAGTATATTAGCCTGTGTATAAAAGAGACCTTAGTATGGCCATCTAAGGAAAGGGTGAACAGTTAATGGAATTACAGCTATCTACGTAGCCTTTTAGAGCCGTTTTACGTGCCTTTTATCTTCCGATTAATCCTTGCTAAGGCAGGGCTCATCCTATGGCTACACGTAACCGATTACGTACTTACGCGCCCATACGCCTTCTTAGCTTAGGTAAGGCCATCGTTAGGCTCTTAAATAGCGTAAGGTCCCGATTCCGTAGTATTTCCCTCCCTTTCGTTACTTTATTTATATACTTATTTCGTTTAAGGAGTAAGGCTATTACGGGTCCTTTAGATATAGTAACTTAATAAACCTCTAGTATTCCTTCGTTTTTAAGGGCTTCGTAAGCTTATTAGCCGCGTTTTTAATTAATAATACGTATCTTAGCTTAACGTATCCCTCTTTTATCTCTTGCCTTACGTAGTAATAGTCCTTTCGGATGTACCGCTTTTACTTATTTATCGTAGTCTCTTTTACTTACGTATTCGCCGTCGTATTATCGTATCGTAAGGTAATCGGGCCTGCGAGTATTATACTTAATTCCGTAAGGAAATTACGTATTTACGCGGTATCTATTACCGCCGTCGATAAAGCCATATACTCGGCCTTTCCCGAACTTAGCGTAACTACTAACTAAAGCTTCGATATCCATACGATCGAGGCTTCTACTATAAAGAATACGTAACTACTTATTAACTTAACTATAGAGATATTTCCCGTATAGTTCGAGTTTACGTAATTATAGAGACTTATTTCGTTATATTCTTTATAAGAATAACTTTCGTTTAATTACTAATACCGGATCCCTCGGCTTACCGTTCCTTTAAGATATTTTATTACGCGATTAATTCCTGTTAGATATTTTTATAAGGGGTTATTTATAAAACGCGCCTAGGTCGAGGCTACGTAACTAATATTAGGCCTCGTAATATATGCCGGAAAGTTCGCTTTTCCTACTAGCGAAGCATATTCTTAAACCTCTCGTAGGTCGGCCTTATCGTTAGCCTTTCTCGGTACGACCGCGTCTCGGTTCTTCGGGTTATACGGTAACGGGTATAGCTTTATATCGCCGTAATTAAGCTCCTTTAAAGCCTTTTCCATATACTACTACTAATCGAGTTAGACGTTTCCCGTAGGAGACGATCGTTTTATCCGGACCCCGAAAAATTAATTAACGTTTCCTAGGTTAATTACCTTAACCTCTTCTTTAATTATATTCGCGAGCTTATAAAGTCGTTCTTTTTTAGGTCCGAATTATAAGAAATCGTTTATATACGAGGCGATTACGTTTCTTATTCCGGGTCTTATATAAATAACGTCGTTTAAGGTTAATAAAACGTAGCCGTATTTCTTTAAGATACCTTTTATACGCTATTACTACGCGGCTCTAACTTATTTTAAGCCGTATAACGGATTAATTAGCTCGATAATCTTCGATTCGTTATAATTATAGGTTTATTTTTCTTTCTTATAAGCCTCGAAACATTCCTTTAATATAAGGAATTACTTTATAAAGATCCTTTCGTTTAGTTTCCCGTTAAGGTAGGCGGTAATAAAGTTAATCTAAAGGATATATTACTAATAAATAACGGCTAACGCTATTAGTATTTTCTACGATATTATTCTCGTCGTTATTGCCTTAGTTTCGTTATAATCGATATCTTTTTTCTATATAAATCCTCGGGCGTAAATCCGTACCTTTAGTTTATCGAAATTTTCGTTAAATAAGAACTTTTTCTTTAGGATTTATTTAGTATCGATAAAATAACCGTTAACTACCTCGCTCGGTTATATAAACTTAAACGTATTACGTTCTAGGTTTTCTCGGATCTTCCTAAAGACGGCTTAGGTCTAAAGATTACGCTTTAGTTCCTTTATTACTTCCTTAAAGAACGGTTCGTTTTCGTTTATCCTAAATAGGCCCGCCGTTACTAATGCTATTTACCTATAGCTTTACTCCTACGGTACGGTAGTAAGCGTATTAATATAACATAGCTCCTCTTAGGGCGCGTTTCTAAACGCGATTTTAAGCGTATCTTATTCGCCTTTAAATACTTTCTCTAACTCGCCTTTTTACGAGCCGCTTAGCGCTAAGGCGGAGCATACCTTATCTAACTTAGATAATACCTTTAGTATATAAATCTAGGGTAGTTTCTTCTTCGGGCGCCTTTTACGGGGGCGTATCCTATCCTTATCTTCGTTTATAACGTCTTCGTCGACGATATTATTATCCTTATTATAAACGCTAGTTACCGCGATCTTCTTTCGATACCGTAGCCGTTTTTAAACGTACTTAGGTAGGAATCTAACGACGTTCCTTAGGTCGGGGGCCTTTTCGGAATCTCCTAATTCTTCGTAAAAGATAACGTAAGGCGTCTTTAAGAAACGACCTCCTTCTACGAGTTAGACTAGGTAGTTATACTTCCCTTCGTAATCCATGAAAACGACGCGGGCTTTACGTAGTTCTATCTTTTCGGAAACGACCCGATAACTCTTATCGATATAAGCTACGTAACGGCTACCGACGATACGTAGATACGCGTTATTAGGTTTATAATTCTTTTTTAACTTTATACTATTTATAAACCTCTTATATAACGTAAGCTCCTTTACGAATGAAACGCTAGTCCTATTAATCGTATACGCCGTTATTACGAGGACGTAGTCCTAGAAGTAAGTAAGGATCTTTATTTAAACGTAGATTACTTTAGCATCGTCTTATAGGAAGCGTATACTTCTTTCCGTTACGCTATTTTAATATTAGTTATTTAGCGTAAAGGTATCTAAGGTAATGCCTCTTTCGTTATAGAACTATTCGATAGCGCTTATACTAAACTCTCGGCCGCCGTTAAGGCGTAATATTTTCATCCGTTACCGGCTCTTATCCGAGGCGTTCGGTAACGCCTTTAGTAACTAGTAAATTCGGATAAGGTAAGTTATTAATACTTATTAAGCCTTTCCCTTAGACTTATGCTAGGTAAACTTTTTATTCTAGCTATCGTCGTTTACGATTAGTATGAAATAACGGTAATTTTCGATTAATATAAGCTATAACTTTCCAAGGTCGCATTAAGTAATCTCCCTAGGAATTTAAGTACGCTCTTAAGGATCCTTCGAGGATATCTTAATAATTTTTACCCGATTATACGTGTAATAAGGTACCGTTTTTATAAGTACTAGATCTAAGTCGATTCCTACCGACCTTTTAATAGTCTATATAAGTTTTTCCGTATTAAGGTAATAAAGGCGGCGATATTATAATATTAATTACTTTATAATATTATCGTTTAGTTATATTAATATCGTTCGTAATATCTCGCTAAGCTTACTAAGTTAATACCCTAACGCGCCCCTTTAGTACCGTTTAAAGGGAAGGAGTTTCGGCTCTTCTTTTTTATATTCTTATAATAAGAAACCTCGTTTCTTAGGGTTCTAGGTCGTTAGGACGGTTCCGTTAAGGTTTATAACGTTATTTTTATTTAGTTAGCCTCCGCTATAATAAAATAACTCTCCCGAGAAAATCTTAACTAAGAAGGAGCTAATAAATAATGTATAATTTAGCTACGCTCGGTTATATCTTCCGTCGTCGCTAGTAAGGTAATAAGTAGCCTTACTTATCTTCGTAACGTTTATAAGGCCTCCTTCTATATTAATAACGTAACCCGGCGGTAACGTTACTATTATTTTTAGGTCGAGATTTCTTAAATCGTTCGTAACGTAAACGTTAGCTTTTATATCGAAGAGTAGGTAATCCTTATAGGTATTAGCCCCCGCTTCGTAGTTAATTCTTAAAGGCTCTACGGGCCGCTCGCCTTTTAGCGGGTTAGCTATAGTTAGGTTATTACCGGAATTAATAGGTATAAGCTTTTATTTAAGGTCTTTCTTACGGCGTAATTCGTTATAAGCGCTTATTAGCTTAGAGAGCTTTACCGTATCTATCCTCGTTCGATATATCCCGCCCCCGTTATCGTAATAACCGAATTAGGGTAGCGTATACGGTACGTACGTAGTATATTACGTCGACGGTTATTTCGAACCGCCTCCTGATCCGCTGGGGGCGCTATCGTCGTTATTATTATTATTACCGTTACCCTTGCCCTTTCGTTTCTTTAGAGGTTTTAGGTAGTCCTTAGCCTTATGCCTATACTCCTTATAGTTAAAGCAAAGGGGCTTTCCTTATTAGTTTTACGAGGGCTTTTTCTTCTTAACTTTTTCCTTACCTTAGGCGTTATTAGCCTAGTTATTATTACCGCCGCTACTTTTATTACCCTTATACTTATTAATCTTATTACGGAACTTTCCGCGGAAGCTATTAAGTACGTTTAATAGCTCTCTAAGTTTCGTTTTAATTATAGTATTTACGATCTTAACCTAATTAGCTACCTTATCTTATATATAGCTAAAGAATATCGTAATCTATTACTCTTCGCTAATTACGAGGCCGGTATCCATATATTAACGGACGGCTAGCTACTACTTAAACGTAAACTCTACCGGGTCCTTACCGTCGTATTTTATCTTAATAAGTTATTTCTATAGCTTCTATTAACGAGCCTTTCCTATAAAGGTATAAGTTTAATCGAATATCTTTAGTATCTTCGTATTTAAACGTACGCCCGCGACTAACTATAAAGGTTAACCCCTATAGGTTCCGGCGATTACTTTCGCTAGCGATATCTCGTTTTATTCGTCGAGTTTTATCCCTTTTTTATATCCTACCTCCTTTATAAAGAATATAAGTATATCCCGATATAAGCTTTAGTTCGAGATTCCCTTAAGATAAGCGTCCTTATCGGGGTTAAAGACGAACTTCTTCTAGTTAATCCTACTATCCTTTCTAAACGCGGTACCTTTGCTCCTACTCCTTACCCTCCGGTTACGTCGTTTACCGTAATCGGAGTTACTATTAAAGGAGCTTCTTAATAGGCTATTTAAGCTACGGCCCCGGCGGCGGTAGTTCTTACGCCGGGCTAAGCGCGAAGTACGATAGTAGCGGCTATCCTCGCGACTCCTACGGTAAT